CTGCGAGACTTCCTCAATGTTTGAAGTTGGCAACATCAAAAACGAAGCAATTCTGCAAGACTTCCTTCAACAATGGAAAGTTATTTGCAGAGCTCGCAGCCTCGTACCAATGCCTTTTGCAATTTGTCCATTCCATCTGTCTAAAGTATTGCGCCTGCCACGAAAAAGTGATGCCAGGACACACAAAGTGCTGCACCTGTCACACAAAATCATCTTCCCAAAACTGAAGATCTGATGCTCTAAAATGCAACCGCTCTGGGGAATTCAGCGCCCTGACCTCCTAACATCTCTGATGAACATGTCTCTTGTACTACGCCTCCCACGGAAAATGCATCTTTCCAGATCCTCTTCAAATGTCCCACGCCTGCCATCCTCCAAAACCCTCACGTTTTTCTCACTTCTGACAAGGTGCACAATCCCTTGCACCGGCCACGTGAAACATCTGAACGTCCAAAAGTGCTCCGTACTTGGAAATGTGCTTCGCGCCACAACGACGTGCACTTTTTCAACATCTCAACTTCCAAAAGTGCTCCGAGCATGGTGTGTTTTGTACATTTTGGCTTGGAAATGTGCTTCGCGCCACAACGGCGTGCCATTTTTCATCTCTGCGCACCCGCCGCTTTAGCGAGCCTACCTTTTGACCCTCCGGAGCCACAAATCATTGGAAAAACACAGCGTTTCACGACTTTGCTACCTTTTTGCGCACCTGCATCTTCTTTCTTCTCACTCTTTCTCTGCTCTGATCTTCTCTCTTCTGCTCTTCTCTTCTCTGACTCTTCCCACCTCTGCTTTTCCATGTGTCCATATCGTCGGAAGTTTGACTTCTAAACTTCCCTCCATAAATAAACAATGATAAACATAGGTAAATATAAATATATATACAGGTAAATAGAAGGGTAAACAACAATTTATCAGCAAAGAGGCATCGAAACATCATCTGATTTGCAACACTCTGACGACCTCAAATGGCCATCTGAAGATTCGCACACTGCCTGGTTGCTGAGCGGACATTAGGCGTGCATGGGACAGATGCGTATGGATGCGTATGCCTCAAACTTGGGGGCCCAAAAAGGTCTAATTTAGAGTATTTACCAATAAAACATGATAAAACATGGATCAAAATTATGGTTTTGCTGGGTGAAAAAAATGAGCCATGAAAAACATCCAACCTTGCCGCGTGCCCGCCAGGAGCAAGCCCAGCGCAGCCGCCTCGGAAACTCACCCTCCATAAGCATAAAAAGTGTCACAACAAACACAATCATGATGATAGCAAGAGGTTTTCTCAACTGGTATTGTCATCATCATCATCATCATCGTCATCATAATCGTGATAATCATCGTGATAATCATGATGTTCATTGCAAACATTATAATATTTATCATTATCAGCAGCATCACTGTCCACTACAGTCACCATGATGTAAATGATTCCAACACTCTTGGAGAAGCCGTTAAAAAAACCTCATTCGGCACAGCTAAGAGCCCTGCGAGACAGTGGGCAGTGAATGCATTCTGCTTGCTTTCCGGTTGAATCTCAGGGCACCAAGTCCACTCCAGCAGCGTTCATGGAGTTACCACAACCGAAAGCCAAAGAGCTCCTGCCTCATGAAGCGGTGAGCTCAGATGTCCGATGACCTGAACATCGCTGACACAGCTGAAGTTCAGCAGAAGTGTACCGAATGGACTCTCATCGAAAATTATTGGGTTTTTTCCAAGTGTATCTTTGCAGCTTTGCACACTAAATTGGCAGTTCAAAACAATGACATCGATGCTGAGGGAAATCGCAGGTGCAGCTACAAGGAGGTCAAATTGAAACCTGTGATATTCCCTTGGTTTATTCTTGGTCCACAAACACATAGAATTGGTGTCTGAAAATGGCCATGTTTATGCATTTTCATGGGGAAAATATGGGAAAAATTGGATGAAGCGCTAAAAAAAAGGTGGTCTTCGACCCACCTTTGACTTGCTGCTGTCAAAAAACTCTCACATCGCCCTCCGGCTGGCGACAGGCAACAACCAGCCTTGCTGTTGGCACCCACATGGTGGATGGTGGATTGGGTGACTATGGCATTTGGGGTTTTCCAAACACATATTTCAAACAACCTGCAGGGTGCTACTCCTCACACCTGAACTTGAAATCTGTCTTCAGACTCTGGTTGTCATGACAAATGGATCTATGTGCTCTTGGTAGCTTCCGGCCTTTGCCGAGTATCAAAACTCATATCGATGTATGAGGATTGCTTGCAGACCTGGTCGGTTCAAGTTCAAGATCTTGCACCTTTAAAGTAGCTTAGCCTTCCTCCAACATCGTTACATGTCAGACTCGACAAGCAAGCGCAAATTTCCTTCAAGGCTCCTACTCTTCTATGCTTTGCAAACAGCCAAGCCCTAAGAAGTGCAGTGCGGACTCCATCGCAGCAACGAAGAAAAAAGCTCCGCACGTGTTCGAAGCATCGTTCCCTGCCGGGCGAAGCCAAGTCCCAACCTTGGTCTTTCGGGATGAGAGGAACTTATCACGCCATGATGGCGTGATGGAGAGGAACAAACGTGAGGAGAAAATACCCTCTGGTAATTTAACATAGCTATTGAACATGGCCATTTATAGTGGATTTTCCCATTAAAAATGGTGATTTTCCATAGCTATGTTAGTTTACCACAGGGTAGACCAAACTGACCAAATCTATGTCTATATCTGAGCAACCATCAGCTTATGATATCTTATGATGTATTTCCGACATCAATTTAGATAGAAATTGATTGAACCTGTCACACATCACCAACAAAGAATCCGGCCATAGATGGCACCATGAGGAGCCAGTCCGCTCGACAGAAGCAGTCGATCGTCCTGCTCCAGCAGGGAAGATTGTACTGTCTGGTAAACGAACATGGCTATCGAAAATGGTTATATAAGTTATATATTTATTGATGATTTACCTGTGAAAAACGATGATGTTCCATTGGTATGTTAGTTTACTGCAAGGTATCATCCATTCTTTTGGGCCTTGTAAGTACATCCTCAAACGCATGAAATCATACGCAGCAATTTACTACAAACGCAGTATCTGCTCGACGATCAACTATACTGTCGAGCTGGTATATGGGAAACCTTGCGCATCATTCTCCATTCTGTCCATTCGATAGCTCAGTTGCAGGTTCTCAGCCCAGAGAAAAGAAAGGGACTGAAGAAGCCGTCATGGTGATCATGGTGATCATGGTGATCATGGTGATCATGGTGATCAAGTGATGATGGTGGTAACCCGAAACGAGCTACGTCGCAGTGAGCAGATCTCCTGTGAAAACAGAACCTGGTTCACAACGGAGATGTGGCCACCACCACGTCCACTGAACCTAAGCCACATGTCACATGGAAATAGCAAATGAATAGCAGCCATATTGTACAATTTGATTTGTGTAAGCAATGGCATAAACCATACCACCCATCAAAATGGTAGATTTGAAGATGGTGGGAATGGTGGATCCTATTGCTTTGCTAACATGATCCCGATGAATGGCTCGGCTGGGCTGCCAACAGATGGATCACAACCGCTCTCCATGGATCAATCAGCGCCTGGCGAAGTGGAAGGATCCAAAGGCACCGAGGCTCACGGTCGCGGCGGTCGCACTGTGCAACCCCATTTGTCACACGGCGGTCGCTTAGGGGCCAAAATCTCCTGACCTCTTTCCGATTCTGGCATCTGGCTATATATAATCTATATATGCTATATGATCAGCCAAGACTTCAAGATCGCTGAGTGTCCCACGATATCATTGTCGGAAGACACCGCCAGCAGGCTCCTGGCTTGTGTCTCTTCAAAGTCCCACATCAGGGGCGTTGAAACACAAAGTCTTCAAAGTACCCTCTGGTGAACTAACATAGCAATGGAAAATCACCATTTTTAATGGGAAAATCCACTATAAATGGCCATTTTCCATTGCTATGTTAGTTCACCAGAGGGTATGCCTTCAAAAATCCCCTGGGCTGCTGGCCCGCTATTCGAATAAGCGACTCCGCCGGGATTCTTCAGCTGCAGATCCTTGGCGAGCAACGACCGTTTGCCAAACGCGGCTGAATCAACCGCTTGTCTTTTTCCAAGCTTTGCACGTGAACGCGGTTTTCGTTGCTGGCTTGTTTCATATCCAGCGTGTTTGTATCGGTGCGAAAAACGTTTAGGGGACCCGGATCCCAAACGCTATGTTCATATCAGCTTTTTGGGCTGTCGTGAGGACGCTCAGACTTTCAGGCATTGACAAACTGAGTTCGAGATGCTTGAGACGGCCTTGGCGTCCCATGGTTCACACTGAAAACCAGTTCAAAAAGCCCCAGCAAGACGTATCCGAAATGTCTTCCCGTACCAAAAAGGAACACATGCCGCATACCTGGAAAACATTGGAAACTACCTTTGGATCCAGCGACACTATCAATGGCCTGTAGAGAACTTGTGTGCTGTGAAGGTCATTGTATAGTGTAAAAAAAAGGACCAAATAGTGCTGTTTCTGAAACCCCACGTGCTGTATCAAAGCTGTATGGGTACTTCAAGACTTCCCAAATCACGTTTTGGGATCCGTTTCGGGAAAGACCCACAGATCTGGAAGCGAAAAGCCCTTGATGTAACCCTGGTCCTGGGTTGCTGACGTCAGATGGAAAATGCGCACCATGTCCTGGGCAACGCGGCGCTACCGCCACGACAGACATCTGACACATCTCAGTCGTCTCAGTCGTCTCAGTCCTCCAGAATGGCCGCCACCTGAAATCCCAATGGATGCCTGGGATGAACGTGATCAACGTCGAGTTTTTTGGAATCCCAAGATCAAAAAGGCCAACAGCGAAAAACCAAGACCACCAAGACACATGGCAAGGGCTTTGCAGTTTTCGTACGCAGACACCTGTCGCAATCAAGCCCAATTGAAACAGCTTCTGGAGCTTTTGAAAACCTGACTCCATCCGAATTCTGCAGGAAATTGATCTTATTGGTTTGAGTCGGTCTGCGATGGTTAGCTGCTTAGCTCCATCTGCCTGCAGACTCAGCTCCGGAGTGAAGGGCATTGGCAATGCCTGGCAGGTAAAGAACATGTCCTCTGAAAAGAAATTGGATCGTTCCACAGAACCACAGAATTCCATTGAAAATCTGTATCCTCGAAACTTGAGCCAAACTACTGCAATGAAACCAACCTTTCGAAGTGCAATCACTGTCTCCAAGTCCTTGGGTCCTTTCCAGTGCCAATGCCTCCTGCTCTTCGGTTGGGAAGTTCCAAAGCTTCAAAGTCCGATCCTGCAGCACAGCGATAGCTCCCTCAGCACAGCAATCACCATCGATTTCCAACCAACCTTCACATGAATCATCATGAATCTACCACAAACATCCACAAACTACCCAGACACGTCAGTTTTAGTCGCGTGTCCTCTGCGCAGCTCGCCATCACGCGGCGACCTGTGAAAAGCAAAAAAACTGCCCCGTCGTCGCCCAACTCCCCAAGGGTCGGCTCAGTCGCAGACTGAAGGCAGGTTTGATGGCCTCATACTCCGTGCTGCACGCAGCGTGGCGATTGGAGAAGATCTTCTCTAAGAGCTGGGCAGTGACCAATCCATGATGCGTTCCGTGCTCAAAGACCGGTGAGAAGTTTTCCACCCTCAGAAACATGAAACACCTGTGCTGGACCCATGACCTCCAGTGGTTCCATTGACTCTTTCACGAGCCTGCGTAGCTTGACCAAGGCGATTTCGCCGCTTGGACAACTGAGACGTTGGCTGACCAGTTGCAGCCAGATCTGCCTGTGACATTGGAAACCTGAGAGTAGTTTGGACAGTGATCCATTCGTGGGAACATGTAAGGCTCAGGGTTCCATTTTGGTGACCCCAAATTGCTGGCCAGACTACAAGGTTGGGTACCTAATCTGCTAGTTCTGGCCACATGCTTACTGTTTCCATATTTCTTGTGATAGGTTCATGAAACAAAGTTTCAAGCTCAACGGATCCGCTTCTTTTGGGCATTTTGTGTATCTAGCGGAACCATTCTGCACAAAACCAAAAAAACATCATCATGTTGACTGATTGCCCTGTTCACTTAGTATCCCGGCTACGCACCCATGGAGTTTGAAAACCAACAAAAAACAATCTAACCATGGGTTTTTTGACACAGACATGGTCCATATGTTTCAAACCCCAGTTCACTCAGATTAGCTATGCGTTGTGAGCTTCCGGTGCTTCCAATGCCGTCACCGAGAGACGTGTGGAGGGACCACTTTTCGGTAGGTGGACGTGGACGAGCAGCAGAGGAAGCACGAGACCTTGAGAAGGCACAAGGCGGAGAAGACGGGAACCTAAAAAAACAACGGCAGCAGCAGCAACAGCAGCAGCAGCAACAGCAACAACAACAACAACAGCAGCAGCAGCAACAACAACCACAACCACAACCACAACCACAACCACCACAACCACAACCACAACCACCACAACCACCACAACCACCACAACCACAACAACCACAACAACCACAACCACAACAACCACAACAACCACAACCACAACAACCACAACAACCACAACAACCACAACCACAACCACAACAACCACAACAACCACAACAACCACAACAACCACAACAACCACAACAACCACAACAACCACAACAACCACAACAACCACGACAACCACAACAACCACAACAACCACAACAACCACAACAACCACAACAACCACAACAACCACAACAACCCCAACAACCCCAACAACCCCAACAACCCCAACAACCCCAACAACCCCAACGGCAACCACAACCACAACCACAACCAATAACAACAATGACAGACTAATAAATAATGATAGGATATCTGAACAGATAAACAAACAAAAACACATTCTACACTCTGGGTAACTATCTCTTTGTATTTATATACTGTAAATATATACACATACATTTTATCTATATGCATATCTATATATATATATGATGTATATATTCTGTATACATATATGTATATATACACATACATTACATACATATGTATATGATATGTATATAAGTGGAACATACGTAAGTTCTGGGCCAACCCATCTCTAAACGGTTTTTGTTAGTACAGACAATCGGTTCTTGCACTTTTAGATGCACTTTTGTACAGACAATCAGACAATCCTGGAGGATATCTCATGCCCAGAGCAGGAATAAAGAGCTCCAGCTTCAAAGTTGCAAGTTAATTCAAAAGATGATTGAAAGCTCATGACCAAAGCTGGTCAGTTGGTCAAGTTGATAACCCAGTTTTGGGAGTCCATACGCTCCGGTGTTTTCTTTAAACGTGGCTGGAAAATCCCCTATGGAGATGTTAATGGAACAGTCATCTAAAACTAGGGAATTATCCACAGCCACGTTTGATTACTTGAGGCTGACTATCATCACAGTGTCAAAAAAAACATGGTGGAATTGATGCCGCCAAGGAACACCGTGGAGTGCCTCGAAGCACTTCCACCACGCGACCGAGTGCCAGTGCTCGACATCATGGACTGGCAGTGGAGTTGGAACCCACTAGGGACCAAAACAACACCTCACAAAAGCGATGTACACAAGGAACCAAGGATTTAGATGTGTATATTATAATGTATAAACATATATATATACATACGCATCCACATAATCCACATATGAATATGTTCCCTGACAGCAGAATAGCGAATCACTACTGGCCCAAAACACATGGAAAATGTAGGGAGTGAGAACTGTTGGGTACGAAGCATCCAAAGAACAAAAATAATAAACATAAAATCATGTTGCAAAGCATTCAACTCAGAACATCTCAAAACCAGGGCTGTGACGGCAGAATCAAAACGTCACACTTCAACAACTGGACGCTTTGTCATCCCTCCACTCTACCCAGAGGCAGAATCAGCAACAGTGCCACGTTTGGATATCCTGAAAGTTTCTGAAATGTGACACGCAAAGTGTTATCACATGTTAAACGACCGATTATTTTGACATACGTCCAGATCTGTTTTTTTCATAATTTTCAACCTTAGTCAACCTTAGTCAATGTTTTCATGACCAGGGCGCATGCCTTAGCGACGCGACATATCAACAGAATCCGGTTGCCTCGGTCTCGTGCTCTTCAAAGGATAAGATCACCAAGCTGCTCTCCTGGTGCGGTGCCAACATGACAAAACCCACAGATAAAGTGGCTTGGGCTTGACTTAGAAATCAGACTGCAGAAATTTAACTGATCTCTGAAAAACTATGTCAGAATAACTAAGCATCTGAAAAAATTGATGATTGTTATATGATACATATGTATACATGACTGTCATATCTGATAAAAACGGAAAATACCAACATTCCACAAAGATGATGACACGTCCTGCAACAACAAGTTGTCAAGTCTGCTAAACAGTTACGGACTGTCCTCGGTGCTGGTGCTGAGATTCCACATCACTGCCTGGTTCACAGCGACGGATGGCTCTTGGCTCAGACATGACATGGAAAATGATGAAAACATATGGAGGTTTCCTAAGTCATGGTGGTACCCCCAGTTATCATCCATGAAAATAGATGGAGAAAATCCCATGGTTAAATAAACCATCCAGCGAACTTGGGGTACCAATGTTTTTTTTTTCGAACCCCCCATATTGAAAAATCAATGATTATGAATGATTACCCTGCAGTAAACTAACATGGCTGTGAAAATCACCATGTTTCATTGGTAGATTAACATAGATTAACATAGATTAACTATAAATGGCCATGTTCAATAGCCTATGTTAAATATACCCAGGTCAAGCGCAGGAAATTTTGAAACGACCCGAGAGCTGGATGAGTCCGAAGCCACGCCGGAGCGCCGCCACGCCGCCTTCTCGCCCGGCATCCGGAAGGTGCCCACGGATTCCACCTGAACCGTGGAAGAAGCCTATAAGAGCCATGTAATAGCTAATAGATCATCTATATGTAATAGTTAATATTAGCCATGTAATAGCCATGTAAATTAACCATGCATCTTTCCTTACAAAGATATACAATGATCACATATGTCACATATGTTAATAGCAGTGCGCACAGTCAGTTTGCTGTCACCGCTGTCACCGCTGTCACCGCTGTCACCACGCCTGCGCTTTGGAATCCATCTTGAAAATGCCCAAGTATCCCTGGTCGCCGCCCACAACAAATCCTTGCAGCCAGGCCTCAAGGGCGGGAGGCTTTCTGCAACCTGAACTAGCCATCCTATTGTCGCCTCGGGATTGTGTGTGTGGTTGTTTACAATATCCCCACTATAACAAGTACAGTAAGTGTAGTCTTCCCGGTCCGTTGTCCACACGGATCGTTCATCGATGTCCAATTCAGGGGACAGGTCGCCCGGCGGAAATTGTGGTCAGACGTACTGGAGGTGATTCGTGCACACCCACCAGGCCCGCCGCACCCATGAGGGCGGCCACCTGTTTCGCCTGCGAAAAATGTCGCTAAAGCCAAAACAACTGGCGTTAAAGAATTGAAGAATACTCGTGCAATCTATACTAACAGCTACTAACTATATATACATATATTTTATATATATATACTAACAGATACTAACAGGCCAAGTGGGTTTATCAACCCTCGTCCGTTCAGCCAGCCGTTTCTCCAAGCCTCCTCAGCTTTGGGGCCTGGCGATCGCACATCGCGAGATATCGCGAGGGCACCAGAGCCCTCTGCTGGTAAGTTCTCACTCCAATCATCCCATGGATATTGATATTGATGCATATGTAGGTGTCCTAAATGGCTGAAAACCCTAAATCATCCCAGTCCTACCATGAATTCGTGTAGCTTAACCCATGGGACCACCCATGGTTAACCCATGGGGGATCCCTTATGACGGACCTGAGGACTCGTCCTTCTTGATTTGTGCCTGGACATCCACATCCTTAGACATCAAGGCAGTCCCGGCAGGGCGTCGCGTTTGGAAAAAAACACCACCACCGAATCGTCGCAATTTTCAGGGGACTGGAAAATACTGGCATGCGGACAGAGATATCTATGTATGATGATGTATGCAGATGAGATATGGATTTGGATCTGCAGTGAATGCTCTTTGCAAAGGTATTTACCTCAGAATAAAAGGAAAACAGCAGCCTCACGACGAGATTTTCTCCCACCTGCACCAGCTCACCGTCCTGGAAAATGTGAATATGTCCATCCTGAAGATCAGCTTGGCAGCGCCAGTCAAGCTACCCATGAACCATGTGGAGGGGTTCAACTGAGCCTTAAAGACTCAGAAAACGCTGCAAGCCACAATCTGTCAATCTTCTCACTTGAAGAAATGCAATCGCGCTAAAGTGCCAAGCATGACAATGTCACGGAGAATTTCTTGCAGTCATGAAGCCTCGCTAGCTGCGCAGAGAAAGTTTGAGAGCGCCCAGCAATGGTCAACCACCTGTTCAAGCTGCTACAAGAGCCGCGAAACGCAGGCAATTAAGATGACACACCAATAAACAAAAGGCAAGGTGGAACATGGAGGAACTGATTCAGAAGGTAACAGGCAAGCGTCAAAAATTTCAACAGAAACCAGACCTGAAAGTACTGATAACCAAAATTGCTGCGCGTTGGTGTGCCTGCCTTCATTGCTTTTTCCTTCTTCAACGGAAAGAGAGAGGGCTGTTCAGTGAGCCCCTGATCCTGAGGGGTCTGGTTGGCGCATCCATTTCAATCGTGAAAGCAGGTCTCTGCCAACAATATCTAACAATCAGAGAACTAGGCCCCAAACTGAATGACTCCAAGCATTGAAATCCCAGAGCCGGAGGTAGGAATGCCTCGAGGCCATGAATATTTCAGGCCAAGCAACTGCATCTGCTCGGCCATGCTCGGCAGCTAAGCATGGTACCCTCCTACGGAGATTTGTGCCACATTGCTGGGGTTCACATGCACACGGCTCACCTCAGTTCGCGAAATGTGGCTGGAAAACTTGATCTAAAAGCGACTGAAGAAACTTTGCCGCCATTGGGCCACCATCATTCTTATCAATGGTACCCTCTGGTAAACTAACATAACTATGGAAAATCACCATTTATAGTAAGTTTTCCCATGAAAAATGGTGATTTTCCATTGTTATGTTAGTTTACCAGAGGGTACGTGGTAATTTCCCGCATCTCCATGTCGTTTTTCCCGCGAAAGTTGGTGGAGTGCTGAGCATTTTCACAGGGATCTGCAGATCGTGCGAAGACATCAGCTTCTCAACATCCCAGCGCCAGAACGCCACCTTAGCAGGACACATGCTGTAAAGTCAGCCCAAGCGTTGAACCGTGAAGCAAAAATTATATCCTTATTCCGTTGTGCGTAATAAAACGTCATAAACATTAAAATACATTAAAACCATTCCATTTTCAGTATTTTCAGTGTCAGAGATTTATTTTGCCATGGCCATCTGTGCTGATACAAACTCTCTATGCACATGTCGTGGTGCTCCACCGAACAGGATCTAGGGAGGGAACTGTGCAATCTGGCATGCTGGACAAAGAGACCAGGTGCTTTCCATCCCCCGTGAAGGCCAGATCTGCGCACACAGCCGTGTCTTGAAAGCTGGGTGAAAAAAGGTTCATCGGTTCATCATCCAAACGGACTGCCTATGATGTCCAATTTCTTGTTGGGATGCAGCACTTTCAGTGTCTCATCCTTGATGTCCTGGCCGGCATGTGTAGCTCGCTTTGTTCTCCTGGTTCTTCCCAAGCAATCTCGCTTTGAGAGTCCTGAAAGTCCTCTAAATTCACATAAATTCACTATCATCAATGGATTGGTTCATCAATGGAAAGCCCCATATTTAATGGGAAAATCTATGGTTTCCTGTAAAATATCATATCAACTTCAATCAACTTCAATCAACTTCAATCAACTTCCGTCTTCCATCATCCCTTGTAGAGGTCCGCCTTGTTGTCTCCCAGATCCTGACAGCTCCAGGTTGTGCTGACTGCTGACAGCGGCGATGGGGCGATGGCGCCTTTGGGACACCAAGGATGCTGATTTGTGCTGCCTCAGCTGCAGCGGACATCACTTGGTACTCATAGTTCAGTTTCTCAATAGCATTTAAATCACATAGTTACAATATATTATGTTCTACAATACATATACATATACATATATATGTATATGTATGTGTTCTATTTGCACGCGCAGCGGTTCTCTGAGCCTTGGGCGTGATTCGATCCATCCTCTGACCTTGGCTTTCACTTTCGGACGCTGAAATCGCCAGGATGTAGAGCTCCACGGGTTTTTAAGTGTCATTTGATTCATCTGATATTCATCTGATTGTATCTTTGTGGTATCCATTTGATTGTGGTATCTTTGTGGTATCTTTGTGGTATCTGATTCTGGTTTTTGGATGTTTTTTGGGGTTCCAAACCCAACCCGCTCGCCAATTGCGATGAGCTTGCCGCTGTGAGACCTGAGCAGAACATGAAATCAGCACAGTTCGTCGGATGCCACGGGCCGAAGACCGAGCGCAGGACTTTGTCATAGCAGTAACAATACGATGCCTTGCAGGGTCCAAGTCCCGTGGCTTGTGGAGTGGCCAGGACCAAATCAACAAGACTAATCGACATAGATTGACATAGTGCAACTCAAATGCTTCTGAGAATCCACGACTTTGAGAATTCTCTTCCTAAATGTTCAAACCAACATGATGCACAGGATCGCTATCAGGACCACTAGTAGTCATTAGGATTGCGTTCGGAGCACCTGGTCTCGCGACCCAGGAAGCACAAGCGCTGCCGGCTCTGGTGGCATAACGCCACATGCCGACCTGAGCTTCTCAGCAACATGGACCAGCATGGATTGGATCCTCTTGTGGTCTGTAGAATTCAATGATATAATTTGATATACATGTTCATCTTCTTAGGCCTTACAGTACTTATATCACAACCATAATGATAACAGTAATAACAAAAACAAAATAGCAATAACAATAGCAATCATAATAACAATAACAAAATACTAATAAAAAAATAACCAACAGCAAATCTGAGGAACTTGCCCACGCAAAATGCAAAGGTGTCTTCACCCAAGGATATCACCTCAGTGCCCATTCCCGCAGATCGATGCATGCTGCAGCTACCGACAAAGGTGACGCTACGCCGCTACGACTGGAGCTGAGCCATCCGACCGCATCTTTGATCGGACATGGATAGACTCCAAAGGCGTGCGCTAAGCGCAGCTTGACGTCCATCTCCTTGGTGTCCCGAAAAACATCGAAAAACCCATGCCATGTGCCAGCCATGAATTCTGGCTCCGTGACATGACTCTGAGCATCAAACGTTTGTGCCTGGAAGGAAAAGATTTCGGTTAAACAAATGTGTGTCTTACTTTGCACTGCGCACGCCAAACGACAAGGAAACAAACAAATCTTTGCTATGCCTAAAACCTCAGTCAAATTACACACTCTGTCATCTGTCATCTTGCATTCTCACCAGATATTGGTCATGTCAAGTCCACTTCATCAAAGCCTGAAGCCATTTGCCACAGGCCACGCGAAAACTCACCGTAGCATTTTCATGGTAAAAGAAATTGCAATGTGAAAATCGAATCTGTCTGCGTCGCTGCTTTGGCCCTCTTGCAAGTCGGCTCGAATGCTGCTTGGTTGGTTTCAAGTTGTTCACCCACGAGAGAAAACACACCAAGTTTGTCTGAGCCGAAAGCCGAGGCCCTTATATATTCTCCTATAGGAGATATTCATAAGATTTCTGTACTTTCAGATAAGTTTCATGGCCATTCCGCCAACAAGACCTGACTATTTGCCCCGTCCACGTCTTACAGTCGGCCAGGTGCGGGGATCTGCCCCATTTTTGCCCCCGAACTCGGCTGGTATCAGGTAGGATTCGTCGCTTCAGGACGAAACTCCCATCGAAGCTCACAGGCCGCATTCACCGGGCCTGAATCGGGGCAGGACTGTTGGAACACGCAGCTGGAATACTGTATGATCCATTGCTACGTCCTGAGGCAATAGGCCTCTGAAAGCAGAGCTCAGACCTGAAGAAAGAAGAGCGACAGAATTGCAAAAAGGAACAACGGTGCCAGAATTCTCAAAAGTTCAAACCTTACGGAAGAAAAACTTTCTCTGGCAAACACTGCTTAAATTCGGTATTTCACGGCAAGTTAACAGGCAGATCCCTGACTTGGTAGGTCTCAACTCTCCTCTGAAAAATCACAAATTCGGAGGTGTACATCGAAAGCACGAAAAGGTCCCGTCCAGCTATTCACTGTTTGGACTGTCAAGGACCGGTGTCTCAGAATTCTGGGCCTAGCAACTGCAGTCCGCAGCAAGGCATGCACCTGGCCTGTCTTGCCAACAGACACTCGCGATGCAACTCGGAGACGTCTACAAGACGTCTACACTACGTCACTCGACACTAGCCCACAGGGCAGAACAGGAAGAGAACACATGAAAAAAGAGAGTCTCGAATCGCTGGCCCAATTGGCTCGCATCCGAAAACTATTGAAGTCTCCAAAAACTGTTTGGCAACACATTTTCTTGTTGTGCCGAGTTGTCCCGAGTTATCCCGAGTGCACTGTTGCGTCAACAGGCAGTCTCTCTGTGGATCCTTTTAAACTAGTGCATTGCCTATAGCCCAGCACTCTGCAATAAATTCACAAGGGTGGCTCTCCAAATCGCTCTCTAGGCAAGGAGAAGGGGAGACCATCACTCTCCCCTAACAGTGAGCCATGGGAGTGCCAGGTGAGCAAAAACTGGGCGGGAACAGCCCAGGCATTACCCAATAGATCAATCAGCGCCCAAAAGATACAACCCATCGGTATAGGCAAGTAAATCTGGGCGGGCCTTGAGTGTTGCCATTGAGGCACTGTGACAGGAACACCCAACTGTAGAATCAGGCACCAAAAACCATCAAATCAGTGGAATGTCTTGTCAATTTGTAGAAGTCTTACTTGATATGTTCAGTAACATGTGGGACATCATGTCATGAATTCGCCGTAAAGAAGCTCGCTCAAGATTCTCGAGTTTCAGCTGGTGCTGAAGCTCCGCACCAATCTCCAGCTTTGTGTTGGAGATCAAAAGAATCTGAGCCCTCCTGGCCACCATTGTGGCTGTATCGCCTCTAAAATCTCTCAATTTTTTTCGTTCAATCTCAAGGTTGCGATGAGCTCGGTCACGGTCGGAACCTCTCAGGGATGGTCCCAGGGATGGTCCCAATCTCAATCTCCGCCAGAGGGATTTGGGATGACCAACAGCTCTTCACAGGTCAGGTCGAAGAACAAACATGATGATTTATGTAGATAATGTAGATACTTCGGGAAGTCTGAACATGCTCTCACTATGTTCCTGAATAGGTAGAAGCTTGAGGAGCTCAACTTGGAAACGGAGAATTTTTTTTTCGGACTAGTCCCCACTGTAGATCACAAAATCAACCACTTTAATGTTCAACACGGGTCAAACGTTCCGCAACGTTCCGCAACGTTCCCGGAGATCATCTCCCGATCGGAAAGGTCAGACCTTCTCACCAGCAGCCTCCAGGCGACGGCAAAACTTGGCAGCAGCCTGTGCCGCTTTGTCCAGGACAAAATGAACTTTGCTCAGGACAAGTCCTAGATATCCTTTGATATCCTTAGATCATTCAGGATCATTCATACTCAACATGAAATTTGGCACAAAATTTTAGATTTTAGATCTCTCATGATCCCTCGATCTTCCCAAACGTTTCAACCGGAGCACCGGCTTTTGCACCTGCTTTTGTTTCTTGCGACGGCGATTCTCACCGGGAGGGCATAGATGGCAGAACTGGCATTTGTATCCCGCCCTGGCGTCTTGCTGTCAACATCGACCCCCAAAGGATCAAAAGTCTCATTAGCTTCGAGACTTACAAGGACTACACTTATAGTAACAATAATATATAATTACATAATATAATATAAGATATATGTATATATATATAACCTCTAAACATATAACATAAACATACAACATATAAATACATTACATGTATTATATACATATTATATATATATATAAAAGAATCAAAGTACAGCCGACCAAATGCCTGCAGCTGGTGCGGTGCTGGAAGTCACAAGGTTTACAGATTCCCAGCGCATGAGTAGCAGATCCCAGAGATGGCCACGGCATGGTGCTCGTGTCCTGCACAGGGCAGCACCAAGGCCACCAAGGGCACCAAGGGCAACGCAGACAGCACCTACCATTTTGATCCATTTTGAACACTCATCAAACATTCGCTGGGCTTCAAAATTCCAAGGACGGATGCATGAAGTGTCCAGATTTGAGAGAAACTCGATGCCTGGCAACTGAGACTGGTGACTAGTGCTACCATGTTGAGCAAATTGGGGTCTAGTTCATGCGACCAGTCAGCCCACCTCTGGAACCATTTCATGAAGCTGCAATTGAATGGGAACCTCCGGTTCAAAACCATGGCAGTGGAAAAGGGCCCATAAACACCAACAGTTTATCGTTGCGATCATGATAGCAGCACCTTGTCTCGCCAAAAACCAGAAAATCTTCTCTTTTCGAAAACTCCCCAAACCCACAGGATGAATGGCTTTGTTTTAGCACATCTTAGGTTTTGATTTCTTTGCATCCACACCTTCGGCACAGCAGCCATGGATTGAAGGACCTGCAAATGACACAAATACCAACAGCAACAGCAGCAACGACAACGACGACGACCACCACCACAACCACAACAACAACAACAACATCATCAACATCATCAACATCAACATCAACATCAACAAATCTAACCAATTGGTTCAACAGCAGCAGTAGATCATAATGTTTCTGTGTACCAGCAATGAGAGCTTCAAATCAGAGAAACTGGATCAGGTTAGACAGGATAGAATCGATTGATTTGTGAGTTTTGGTTGAAGATTGATGGGTTTATCATGGTTTACCCGCCCTGGTAATGACTGACATAGCTATTGAAAATGGCCCAGTCGAAATAGTTGAATTTCCCATTAAAAATGGTGGATCTTTCCAGTTCGCTATGTTAGTTTACCAGAGGGTATTTGTTTATCTGCTTTCATGGTTTTCATGGCTTTCATGGCTTTATGACGTTCCCAAAGTCTCCCGACGTCACCTGGCCCGGATGGTAAGACGACGCAGGTGATGATGGTGCTGTACTGACTGTGCTGGTGGTGCAACCATCTGCCTCTGTGTCCTGTGGCGAAGGTGCACCCATCCCTATGTTGACGCCCGGTGAACTCCTAAATCTCTGGAAATCCTTAAAAGAAAGACCATGGTTTCTTGGAGGTATGAAAAAAATTAGGGCGAAGAGATTAAATCTGAATCAGGATGAAACATGTGAGAAAAAAACCATATCCAACAGCTATCGTTTCTGACTCAACTGTGTTTTGCCAAACCGCCAGCCTTTTCACCGCAGGTGGTGTTCATGCTGTTAGGCGGAGATCCTGCAACAGTTCACAAAGACTTGGTAGCAAAGTTTCACTGGCACATTCCAAATAGAGCATTAGAGCACCGAACCCTGCACCATACCCTTGAAAATAATTCCACAACATATTATATTGCAAAAATTGACAACCGAACCATATTAAAATGTTATATTTTCAAACTCCTAAATAACGTTTTCGTTGACAGAAGAGTGCCTGGACCAAAGCACTCAAGTCCGGGTGGTGGTCGAAAGCAGAGTCCCTGCAAAATTCCAAGGGCAAAATGTGTTCCATGTTAGCGTGTTACAGGCGTGGTTTGATGTTTTTCACAATTGATGTCCAAATCAGTGAAGTCTGACATTCATGCGCATTTAAATTCGATTGGCGGCAACTGTACCTGAAGGACGAATCTCACGTTCCACACAGTGATGGAAATCAAATCACACTCAGTGCAGGACTTCGCGCTGCATCGTCTGCGCTGGGAAATTCGACCTGCTCATGCCGAACAAACCATACCATCATACCATCCAAAAGCAAAGACACGTTCCAAATCGTTCCACCTGTCATGAATAGAATGGCACACCAAAAAACCAAATTTGAAGCCCAAAAATATCAAACCAAATTTTCGAATTCGTTTGGTACATTCAAACCATCATTTGGTACATTCAAACGGAGACCCACGCCTTGTGCACCAGATTGTCGCCGGAAATCTTGGGTGGCTAATCGGCTGCAAACACTTCCAAGTTGGACATATTTTGAAAATGTGTTTTGGTTGAAATAAATTCCATTCAAAATCAACACATGCTGCCATTTGAAATTAATGGATTTACAACATGTTCTATAAAAATGACATGATGAAACTATGCAATGTTTCCTGCCCAACACAAATCCCGAAAACCCCTAGATTTTCGTGTTTTGGCCTGGAATACATGCAAAAACATATAAAACTGCAATTGGAAAGCCAAGTGTTGATTTTGGTGGGTTTCCCCAATCAAGGCCAGTACTGCGCACGTTTTTTCAGGAGCAAGATATGCAGATATTGCACATCATACTATGCTGCACATATCGGGCGGGGACTTGAAAGTTCGGTCGCATTTCCACACATCTTTCATACGCTGTTCTGCGCACCACGCATACTTCGTACTATGTTGGGTTTTGTTGGTGAAGAATTGTTTGAAGATTTTTTCCACTTCCTGGTGCCATTTGCCTTGTATTTGCAACTGTTTGGAACTAGAACCTGTCATTTTGCATGGTTTTTGCTAAAACCTTCCATTTTGCATTGTTTTTGCTAGATTCACCTTCTATTTTGTACGGTATTTGCTACATTTTGGCACCTTCTATTTTGCACGGTGTGTTCACCTTCCATTTGCACCGTATTTGCTACATTTTGGCATCTTCACCGTCTTTGTTGCACGGTATTTGCTTATTTTTGGTACTTAAACATTTCATTTTGCATGTATTTGCTACATTTGTGCACTTCTAACGTTCATGTTGCATGGCATTTGCTACATGTTGGTACTTAGAATTTCCATTTTGAATGCTATTACTACATGTTTGTTGTCATTGTTCTGGTTGTTGTGATTGTTGTGGTTATTGTGGTGTTGGTGGCACAAGGGTGGACCTTTGAACAAACTGTTTCGTCTGATTGCTGGAAGTTGGAAACCAACATTTGCGCAGCATTTGGTACTTGAATGTTTCAAATTGTTGATTAGTTTGGTTAAGAATTTCCAGAAAAACATCGTGAGATGCACATCAATGGCAAAAAACATGCATCAAAAGGACGCACGGGATGAGATACCATGTCAAGTAAATAGATAAACTAGTAAATGAAGAAATGTGTTTTTTCATACGTATAAATAAGTGTCTATATATATATATATACGTATGCAAATGTATATGTATATGTATATGTATATGTAAATGTATATGTATATGAAAATGTATATGCATTTGTAAATGCAAATGTATATGTATATGTATATGTATATGTATATGCATATATATATATATGTATGTGTATATGGGGTACTGACACTTCGAACCAAATCAACACATGCAAAGCAAACATATGAGAAACCAGAGTTGACGTGTAACATTTACACTCAGCACATCCCTCAAGCAAAGCCCTATCCCTACGGGAAATCGACCATGTGTGTAAATTCAGCTGAAGCAATGCAAGCAATCGGAACACTCTGTTTTGACACGGGGGTTGCACGATCTTGCCTCTCCCATTTCACATCGTGCAAGCTCCTGTGTTTAGAAACTCCAACAGTGCTGACAAGCATGCTCTGACATCTGCTGGAACATTAGAATTGTCAACCAGCAAAGGGTGAGGGACGCCACGTGATGGAAAGTCGCTGATGTTCGTTCTTGTTAGAACCCGTGCAAAGCATGCTCGTGAACCTGCCAACGTCTCAAACTTCAAGTGGTACTCCATTAGTAGCTCACCATCAACGCCAGTCGAAGTTGCTTTGATAAGCGAAACCTAACACCATCATTGTCACCAAAATGAACTGACAGCTTATCACCATTGTCTCCATCCACAAGTTCAGCGAAACAACTGCCGCAAGAAGTTCCAGTTCATAAATGTTGGTGCCCTTATCAAAAGCGCCTAGTTGCTCACGCGTCTTGCAGTCAAGCGCAATGCCAAACCACGCCGTGACTTCTGAAGACGCATTGACAAGAACACCACCCAGGCTGCCATTTTTTTCCTCTGGTATGGTCGATTAAGCTCAAAGGCTCGGTCCTGAATGTAAACATAGTAAAAGAAATCCGAGACAGAGATACCTGTTATCTCTGCACAAACTGTACAAAATAGGAGGTGGCAAATACACAAAACCGTAAACCTTGCGTAGGGTAGAAGTGCACATCCCCCGGTCAGATATGCGTATCCACCCACGCAGAAAACAAGGCACCACAAAAACCACAAAACAAACAGAACGAGGCCGGAGCCCAAAAGCAAACAACCAACACACGCCACCAAGGGCATTGATGGGATTTGTAACCCACCAATGCAGAAAGCAAAAACATGCAAAAAAAACAAATCAAGATGGAGCCAATCAAATTCAAAGCACTAAAGACATAAATGTACAAGAACCAGTAAAACTGTACATCAGCTCAAAACTCGCGTCACTCAGAGTCCTCTCAGTAGTTCTCTTCCTGGTCATCCCACTCAGAGTGCTGGTAATTGCCAAAGTAGAAAGGTGCAGAGTTTCGTTGAGGCGATGTCACATCCACTGGTCGAGGCATTAAAGACAGCAGCCCCCCGAAGGGGGCAAGGCTACCAGCAGCCAGTGTTGGCCATGGAGACAGACAGCTTCGTATCATATTCATCCAGGGCAGTGCGTAATCACTCCAGCAAAATTGCATTGGCCAATTCAACGAGTCCTTGGGGTTCGATCTCCTCCTCCGTGTGCATCCTCGTTCACAGCTCTGACGGCATGGGCATCCTGAAAGGCAATGGCGTAACGAGGACACTGACCGCATACACAAGGCTCGTCACATTCAGAGTCTTCACGTAATTATTCCAAGTCATCGTAAAAGGAGTGTCAGCATTAGCCTGAAAGTTTGCACTTGTATTGGCCACGGATAGAGACACCTTCGTACCATATGTATCCGGGGCGTCACCTCATGAAAGACTTCGCATCAGGAGGACGACCAAAGCATAGACAATGACGCAACGTAAGTTGCAATCATCGATCACAGTGAATTAGTATCGTTGAAAGAAATTGAGTGCCCAGAGGAGTAGCGCGGCGACCTGAATGAGTAGCACAACAAGACAGCACGAGGAGCCATGGTCGCAGACTTTGCTGCTGCACGGGCGTACCGAGGGATACTCCACAGCGCAAGGCACTGGACAACTGCTAGACACAGTGGCCAGGGCCGAGCATTGCAGGATCACCGTCGGGTCATGGCACGAGCCGGCTACGGAAGCACCCCCAACCAGCCAGCACCCATCCCCAAGGCAGAAAAGAACATGGACAGAGTG